CCCGCTCGGTCCCCGCGCAAGCTCCCACCCTTCTAGCCCTCGCGGAGCGCCCTCGGCCCCAAGGCGCGAGCAGCTCCACTCCAGGGAGGTGCGGAGACCGCGAGCGGCCAGCCCACCCTCCGCAAGCCGGAGAGGGACCCCGAGGCCCCGGAGAGACCCAGACTCCAGCCACGTCTCGCTCTGAGCCCGCCCGGCGCGGCTACTGCCAGGACGCCCCCCGACTGGCCGCACGCGCGCTCGGCGGAGACTTGGGGCCACACCTGGGCGCCGCCGCCCAGTGTCTGGCGTACCCGCATGGGTCCGAGCTGAGTGCCCCGACCGAGAGTCCTGCGCGGGCAGTCGGCCTCCAACCGCCCAGGGGGGAGTCAGACCTGGGGGGGCTAGGGCCCCCCAAACTCGGATCGGATCCTACCAGAGTGAGGCGGCGCCATGGAGCTCCGGGCGCTGCTTTGCTGGGCTTCGCTTGCCGCCGCTTTAGAAGGTGAGTTTACGTGAGGGCAGAGTGGAGGGTGCTGGCCTCTCTCAACCCCTATCCTGGCACCCCAGCCCCAAACGCTCCCGACCAGTAGTGCTAGAACGGGAGGGGGGCGGGGAGGAGACGGCCCGGCGGGGAGTGGAGTTTTCTTTTGTTCGGGAAGGAGATGGAGTCGGGCTCCGACCCGGGACATTCTTCTATCCCAGCCCCCCAAACTCTTACTCCTGATTCCAGACACCTTTGGCAGCCTTTCCTGTCGTCCCTATCCCCATCTTGGAAACTTTCCCCGAAGTTTCTGTCGCACTTCCCACCTCTGACCGAACATGAAGAAACGTCTCTGCAGGAACAACTGCAGACAAGGCAGAACTTGGTGCTAGGCCGTGAACACGACCCCCGCCGCCCCTTCCTTGCTTCCACACCTCCGCCTACAACTCCTCACTCCTCTGTCAGGATGGCCACCTGCATTCACACTCCAAAACCCCAGATCACTTTCCCAGCCCCTGCCCTTGCTGCAGACCCCTTCCCATTCCCCCAGGCAACACCCTATTCCTTTAAGTGCCTACTAGACCCCAACCCTGCCTGAGGTCCCTGCTTTTCTCCAGTTCTTAGGAGCCTGCAGAAACTGACCTCCACAGCCATCAGGTAGCCGGGACTCGGCCTACCTGCCACCTCCTAGTCTTCCCAGATTGCCGTTTCCTCTGCATGCCCCTCTAAAGGTTTCTGCATCTCTCCCTTCCTTGTCCCCTAGCGGGGTAGCCAAGAGCCCTGTAAACCCTCCTCCTACATCCCTAATCTCCTTTCAATGCGCTGCCTCTCATCCTGCCCATTTTTCACTGCCTGGAATCAAAGGCGTCTCTGGGGAGTGGGCCATGGGGGGCTGGAGAAGAGGAGGAATGAAAGGCAGTTGGAAAACCCCTCTCCCCCAGGATGGGCAGTACCGGTATCGCTGTGGGCTGAGGATCAAAGGCTGGGTGTGGAGAGGTTTGCCCTACTCAGAAAAAAAAAGAGAAGGGGGAAAGAACTGTGGTGAGGGAAGAGGAAGGCCCAAGGGGTAGAAGCAGCACCAGGCAGAATGTGGTGAGAGGGAAAGAACAGGAGGAAGTGCCTTTTCTAATGCTTATTGCCCCAGCCTTCCTAAGCTTTGGGCCTGCGCTTTACAAATAAATGTTACCTCGCCAGTCCAACAGTTCTTGGGCGGGAGGGATTACTGCTCCCATCTTACAGATGAGGAGACTGAGGCTTAGAAACCTTATTTATCCAAGGTTATGTGCCCCAAGGGAGGTGGAAGGTGGGAGACACAATGGAAAGCGAGTGACAGACAGAAATGGAGGTGGACTGACGGTCAAAGTGAGCTGGAGGCAGGTGGTCAGGGACGGGATGAGAGAAAGTGAGCCTGCCTTCCCTGAGCGCTGAGGACAGCCTGAAGCAGAGACAGTGTGTAAATTGGAGACAGGAAAACACTATCCAGGCTGGAACAATGGAGGGTGGAGACGGCAGCCTCTAACCACCCCCTTCCCAGAACCCGGGCATCCTGTCCCCAGCGTGCTGTGCTGTCTCCTGCCACCCATGGGGGCCCTGGGCCTCACCTTGGGCTGGCCAGGTTCCCACCTGACCCCTGCCCCGGGGACATCACTTGCTCCCAGGGAGAAGGCTACCTCACCCACGCTGCCTTCCCCTCTCTCCTGTAGCTCCCGCAGGGAAGGGAGAGTGGTTCCTGGTCCCAGGTGTGTAGCTGGCCCCCTCTGGAGGCCTCTTCTGCACAATTCTCAGGACCTGGCCTGCGCCCCCCTCATTGCTCTGGCCTCCTAGGGGATTCCCCTACCCACTCTGCATCCTCCCCTGCCAGGGGCTGTGTAGTTTCTCCTAACACTCCCTTCCATTGGGCCCTCCCCTCTCCTCCCCCTATGATGGCAGAGCCCAAGCTGAACCAGGTGTGTTCACCCCCTCCCCCATACACACATACACACCCCTAAAATCTCCTCCCCTTTTCCTTCCCGTAACCAAATCCAGATGTGAGGCCTCTGCAGGGGCCAGGGCGGGAACCCAAGCGTCCTGGCCTCCAGCACTTCCTCCTCTGAAGGGAAGGAGTTACCGGAGGGGGTCAGAGTTGTGCCTTGGGCACAGAGCACCTCCTGAAAGGAGGGCCAGATAGCAGTGTTGGGTCTGAAAGGGAGGTGGGACTGGGAAGAGATTAGAATTCGGGGTCCAGCTGACTTTGGGACTTTGGGGAAGGGAATGCAAGGCTAGACTGAGACAGGCCTAGAGGGTGGGGTGTTCCCCTATCAGCAGCCCTTCCTGGATAGGTTTCCCATTTTAACCCTTTCTGGGCCGTTGACTCTTCCCTTCTGCATTCTGACCCCTTTCCTCTTCCAAGACATGGCCATTCAGGGAGGCCTAGCTCTGAGCGTCCTGAAGGGCAGCCTAGTGCCTGCCAGTCATTGAGGGTAGGGCTGACACTCAGAAAACGCAGTGGATGCTGAGGCCTGGGCTTGCCCCCACCCTCATGCCCCCTGACTCCTCCTCTAACTTGGAACTAAGAGGGTCTACCTGCATCAGTTCCCAGGGCTCTTGATGGTCCCCTCACCCCTAAGCACTAAGTTTGTCTCGTCTGTCTTAGAGACCCTACTGAACACAAAATTGGAAACTGCCGATCTGAAATGGGTGACCTTCCCTCAGGTGGAAGGGCAGGTAAGAGCTGGACCCAAGAGCTGGGGCTCCAGAGGGAAACTGGGGGAGGAGGAGGATGCTTGTGCTAACTGCCACCTCTACCCGTAGATCCCAGCCCCCTGAGCAGGTGCCCTCTAAGCCCTTGCTCTCATAGTCCCCTCCCCCCGCCCTCTCCCTAGTGGGCCACCGAGCTGACCCCCTTCTCTGCACAGTGGGAGGAGCTGAGCGGCCTAGACGAGGAGCAGCACAGCGTGCGCACATACGAGGTGTGTGACATGCAGCGGGCCCCGGGCCTGGCACACTGGCTACGTACAGGCTGGGTTCCGCGGCGTGGTGCAGTCCACGTGTATGCCACGCTGCGCTTCACCATGCTCGAGTGCCTGTCCCTGCCACAGGCTGGGCGCTCCTGCAAGGAGACCTTCACTGTCTTCTACTATGAGAGCGATGCGGACACTGCCACGGCCCTCACACCAGCCTGGATGGAGAACCCCTATATTAAGGTACCTGGGCACCTCAGACCCTGGCCCCAGCCATGGTTGGGACCCAGTGACCAGGCCTAGTATTTAGAGGACAGTATATGAGTTTCCAAGGCCTTTGGCAGAGGTGCTAGGGCCTGGGGACAGAAGGCTTACATCCAAGAATAGAGAAGGTGGTCTTTTGGGTGGAGCTACAAAGCACAAGTAGGCTGCCTGGCCCTGCACCCAGGGAGGGCCAGGCTGCAAGGTGTCAACTTGGCCACTCTATACTGTGCTCTGGTCATGCTGTACTTGTCCCATTCTCTGATAGTGCCTGGCCCTTTTATAGCCTTGTGCCTTGACGTTGGTGGGGCCTCTTCCACCCAACCCCTACTTGTCTTCCAAGTGCCGGCTCTAATGTGTTGCTGTGTGCCTTGGCCCTCTCCCCGCCTGGCCTCTGCTGCTCTGTTCATGTGCCTGTCACAGCTCTGTGATTCATTCACTTCAGCCTCCTTGGCTCTGAGGTTGGGGCCTGGCGTGGCATAGATGTTGATAAATGTTTGTAGGATGCGCGAATGGATGGGGAGGGGTGCAGGATGGAGGTTGGACATGTTAGAGGAGCTCAGCAAAGATTAATGGACAGTGTAAGAGCCTTTAGGAAGGTGCTTTAGGGAAGATGGAGAGAAGGCTCTAGAACAGGAACCGAGGTCAGGGAGAGGGTGAGCTAGGAAGAGGACAGTCCCCAGGGTCCTCAGGAGTGGGCACAGCACCAGTGAGTCTTTACCACCCCGGCAGGTGGACACGGTGGCTGCTGAGCATCTGACCCGGAAGCGCCCTGGGGCCGAGGCAACTGGGAAGGTGAATGTCAAGACACTGCGGCTGGGTCCACTGAGCAAGGCGGGCTTCTACCTGGCCTTCCAGGACCAGGGCGCCTGCATGGCCCTGCTGTCCCTGCGCCTCTTCTACAAAAAGTGCTCCCAGCTGACTAGGAACCTGACGCACTTCCCAGAGACTGTGCCTCGTGAGCTCGTGGTGCCCGTGGCAGGGAGCTGTGTGGCTGATGCCATCCCGGCCCCTGGCCTCACCCCCAGCCTCTACTGCCGGGAAGATGGCCAGTGGGCCCAGCAGCCGGTCACGGGCTGCAGCTGTGCTCCAGGGTTCGAGGCTGCAGAGGGGAACACCAAATGCCGAGGTGAGGGCTGGAGCCTCTCAGGAAGTTTGTGATCCTATACCTGTGCTTGGACCCACTTAGGCTTCCATTTGGAACATTCTTCATTGTCCTGGGTACTTAGTCACTGGAGGGCCTGTTTTCAGAGCTCCCAGAAGCATTCCGAACTCTTCTTCTCTTCCAGAGCCTTCCCCAACCCTTTCCAACTTTTCTTCTTTCTTTTTTTTTTTTTTTTTTTAATGATAGATCATGTATTGAACATGTGCAAACAGAGAGAAAAAGAGAGAGAAGCACCTTCCATGGGTCTGGTTCTTCCACAATCCCCCTCATCCAGTCCTCCAGCCCATCGGATCCTGGGCATTGGCACCCAGGCCCTGAAGGGCAGTTACCACATGGGATCTGGCTTTTTCACATTACCCCCCTTTTTTTCTTTTTTGACCAGTGAGACATGTGCTAGCCAGAGAGATGAAAGGAGAGAGAGGAAACACCCCTCCAATGTGGTGTGGTCATGCCACATTCCCTTTTCTCCTATCTCTCCATCCTGTGAGGATTTGGGGCATGCATGCACACATGCCCCGCATTTTTCTCAAACTGCTGGGGCTGGGCTTTGAGCTGTGGTCTTTTATCTGGCTCCCTTAACCACAAGGCCACGGAGCTACACTTTTTTAAAAATTTTATTTATGAGCATGTGAGAGCCAGAGAGAGAGACAGAAACATCTTTTACCAGGTCTGGTCATGCTGTAATACCCTGGTCATGCTATGATACCCTCCCCTCCAGCTTCTCAGGGACACCCACGCATGTGCATGTGGTGTGGTTCAGGTTGACCAGGCTGAGGATGACCCCATGATGAGCCATATGGCTTCCAGCACTGGAGTTTGGTGCCTTTTGATTGTACCTTAAAGGCTGGCCTGTTTGTGCAGAACTGTTTGTGGAGATGGGAGTGGTAGTGCTTGTCGGGGTCAGGACAAAGGTGACATGGTCTCCATTCTTGTTCATTGTGAATTTCTCCTCATTTACAATATCAGATCCTTGCCTAGTTTTTCCTCTAGAGTTGGCTCCTTAACCTGGGTTTTGTAGATAGATAGATAGATCTGTGAGCTTTAGTGGAAGAAGAAGATGACTTTTCATAAATCTTCACTCATTCCATATGGCATGTCGGCAATAGCCCAGTGGCCGTAGTGGCCCTGAGACTTGGGCACCATGCAAACCACGCAAGGTACAGTTTGAGTTCATCAGACCTCCAGGATTACAGGTGTGGAGGCCTGTGCTGTGTCTTGTTCATAAAGAAACGTGAATGTTGCTGCATCACAAACTTTTCTTATTTTGATCATTCCACTTTAGCTTACTGGGTTTTCTTCAGAGTCCTGCATAATTAGTGGTGTGCATTTAAAATCATTATTGTGAGCAGGGGTGTGTGGGCTTCACCAGACATTGCCAAGGTTAGGGTTAAAAAAAAAGTCGGACCCCTGCTCTGGAGGAAGGAGCGTGTCCTTTCTCATCTTAGAGGTGAGGTTTCTGAGAGCCCTCTTCCGTTCTCCTTCCTGAGCACGTTGCGCAGCCTTAAAAGCGGCTGGGTGTTTTTGGTGCAGTTTTGTTTTAATGCATTATTTTATTTAACTCTATTTATTTATTTATTTATTTTTATTTGACCAGAGAGGGACAGAGTAAGAAAAAGAGAGAGAGAGAGGGGAGTGGAGTGAGAAAGCCAGGACTTGAACCACTGTTGGCCAGGTAGGAGTCCAGTGCCCTTAACCACCATGCCACCTGCTGGCCCATGTTTTTTTGTTTTTTATTGTTTTTTGTTTGTTTGTTTGTTTTTGAGAGGTTTTTGCTGTAGGGCACATGCATTCTCCAGAAAGAGAGAGACTGAGAGACAGAAAGGGAGAAATCACCCTCCGGGGGAGATGGCCACGCCGCAATCCCTTCTCCTCCATTCTCCTCTCGGGATCTTGGGCATGCATGCACACGTGCCCAGCGTGAGTTTAAGCCACTGAGTCCAGGACTCGAACCGCAGTCGACTACATGGGAGTCCAGCGACATAGCCATTACACCAATTGCTAGTCCCTCTCCCCCCGCCCCGTTTTTGTTTTTTTAATAAGTTCTGTAATAGCTTTATAAAAAATTTAAAAATGTATTATTATTTATTTGCCAGAGGGCACATGCACTTATCAGAGACAGAGAGGGAAAGTGAGAAAGCAAGCCACCAGGTCTGGAACTTGAACCACAGGCAGCCACAGTAGCTTAACCAGCACAGCACCTGTTAACTCTGGTGCATGTTTTTGATAAACACTCTCTTTTTCTCTCTTTTTCACTCTCACTCAGCCTGTGCCCAGGGCACCTTTAAACCCCTGTCAGGGGAGGGGTCCTGCCAGCCCTGCCCGGCCAACAGCCACTCTAACACCATTGGATCACCTGTCTGCCAGTGCCGCATCGGGTACTTCCGGGCCCGCTCAGACCCCCGGGGTGCACCCTGCACAGGTAAGTGACCAGCAACCAGGTGCAGATCCCTGGGGTTGACCCCCACCTCTGCTCCTGTGTTCCCTGGGGTTCTTCCTCTTGACCCTAGCATGCTAGTCCCCAGCCTTTACCGTCTCCAGAGCAAGAGGCTGGTGTGGCTGCCTGGTCCTCCCCACCCAGCAGATGGCTCAGCCTCTGCCTGACCTCCTGCAGCCCCTCCTTCTGCTCCACGAAGCGTGGTTCACCGCCTGAATGGCTCCTCCCTACACCTGGAATGGAGCGCCCCACTTGAGTCGGGTGGCCGAGATGACCTCACCTACGCCCTCCGCTGCCGAGAGTGCCGCCCTGGGAGCTCCTGTACACCCTGTGGGGGAGACCTGACCTTCGACCCTGGCCCCCGGGACCTGGTGGAGCCCTGGGTAGCAATTCGAGGGCTGCGTCCTGACTTCACCTATACCTTCGAGGTCACTGCCTTGAATGGGGTGTCTTCCTTAGCCACGGGGCCTGTCCCGTTTGAGCTTGTTAATGTCACCACTGACCGAGAAGGTAAGACGGGGTTGGGGCAGCCTGTGATTGGCTAGGAGAGAGGTCAGCAAGGGGTATGGCTAGGCTGAGGCCCAGAAGGGAGGAGGCAAGGCTGGGGGATGGGATCTGTAGGAAGTATAGAGGGTCTAGTCTTTGAGGGGCAAGAGGGAGAAAGAGTGAAAGGCAGGTTGAAGAGTTAAGGATAGCATAGATTCTTGAGAGGGCTGGGGACAGAGAGTCAAAGGGGATCCTTCCTCTCCTCTCCTCTCCGCCCCCCACCCCTCCCCTCCCCTTCCTTCTACTTGAGAGAGAAAGAGACAGAGACAGGCACCCCTGACAGAGTCTCCACACCACGATCCATCCCTGGTCTCAGCCAGCCTACGTCATGGATACGTGTGTGCCCAGCAAACATAGGGACGTCCCAGGATGGGAACCCAGGACCTTCCCACGTGGCAGTGCCCCTTACCAGTTGCATCATCACTGTGTCAGCTGGCCTCCAGAAGGAATGCTTGAGACAGCCAGAGAACCAAGGCATATGTAGCCAGCAGAGGGAGAGTTGGAAAAGATGAGGGACAGACCTGCCCTGCAGGGGGCCCCCATGTGTCTTCATCTCTCACAGTGCCCCCTGCAGTGTCCGACATCCGGGTGACACGGTCATCACCCAGTAGCTTGAGCCTGGCATGGGCTGTCCCCCGGGCCCCCAGTGGAGCTGTGCTGGACTACGAGGTCAAGTACCACGAGAAGGTGAGAGCAGGGTCTGGCCCTGGTGGTGGGGGTGGGCAGTGGGTCATGCACCAGAGGCCGGAATGGCTATCTGAGTCACATAATTGGCCAGCATCGAGTTCCAGCTCTGCCATGTGGTAGCTGTGTGACCTTGGACCTGACCCTTGGCTTCTCTGAGCCTCAGCATCCTCATCGTACGATAGTTACGAGGACAGTACTGCCCACACAGAATTGCAGTAAAGATTAAATGATAAAGTTAATATAAAACACTTTGCAGATGTGAGCAAGCTCAAAGACCTTACCTACTACTATGCTATGCTGCGGGGCCAGGATGCTAGTGATGGGGCACAGGGTGTGGGGAGGAGGCAGGATGATGGGCAGAAGCAGGGAGTCCTGGCTTATGGCTAGTCCCTTTCTCCCTTTGGACAGGGTGCAGAGGGCCCCAGCAGCGTGCGGTTCCTCAAGACTTCGGAAAACCGGGCAGAGTTGCAGGGCCTGAAGCGAGGAGCCAGCTACCTGGTCCAGGTGCGAGCGCGCTCTGAGGCCGGGTATGGGCCCTTCGGCCAGGAACACCACAGCCAGACCCAACTGGACGGTGAGCTCAGGGAATAGTGTGTGGGCATAGTTACTACCCCCGAACAGGCAGAAACTTTGCTTCTGCCCCGCAAGGGATCCCCAGAGTCACAAATCCTTGTTCTCTTTCTTTCACCCACAAGGCAGGGCCCAGTGAGGAGAGTGTGAGAAGCAGAAACCAAAGTCAACAGCTGGGTATGAATTCCGACTTAGTGTTTTACCAGCTGTGTGACCTTCGGCAACTGGCAACGGCTTAACCCAAGAGCCCAGTTCCCTAATCTAATAAAGTGGAACTGTTAGGAAACCTCTCCTACAGGGCTTTGAGGATTAAGTGAGTTAACAAAGGTTAGTTTTAGGATGCTGGACTACTGATTTCCTTTGTTTTGCCCCTTAAAAATTAGTTATTTATTTACTTTATTTATTATTATTATTATTTGTTTTATTTGACCAGATTGAGAGAGAGAAAGCAAGCTACCAGGTCCAGGACTCGAACCGTGGCCAGCCATATGGGAGTCTAGCACCTTAACCACCATGCCACTTGCTGGCCTCAGGATGCTGGACTACTGATTTTCTAAACCCTGTAATTTTTATAACAGCTTCACTCACATTCAAGGGGACTTCTAAAGTTCATGGAAAAATGGAATTAAAGTATGAGTCTATTTCAGTACAAAAGATTTGGGGGGCTGGCATAGTGGTTAAGGGAACTGGATCCCACATAGTTGATTGTGCATTAGAATTCCAGGCTTGCAACCAGCAGATGGCATAATGGTTACGTTGCTGGACTCTCCCACGTAGTCGATCACGGTTTGAATATCGGACCCACTGGCTTAAAACTTGAGCCTGGCATGGACTCCAGAAGGAGTCCTAGAGGAGAATGGAAGAGAAGGGACTGGGACATGGCTGTCCCCCTTGGGGGGTGATTTATTGCTTTCTGTCTTTCTGGTGAGCGCATGTACCCTAGAGCAAAAATATCTCTCTTATAAAAAATAATAATAAGAAGAAGAAAGAATTCCAGACTTAGCAGTTTGATAAACATGCCAGGTTCATGTGCGTGTGTTCCCAAAATTTCTGCAGGATGGAAAAATGGAGAAAGGATTATGACATGACTGCACTCCACTAGGGATGCCTTCTCTCTCTCCTCTCTGTCTCTGTCTGGTAAACACATGTACCCTGTAGCAAAATTTATTTTTTATTTTATCTTTTAAAAGAACTGTCTATTCAATTATTTTTTAGTTTGATCAGAGAGAGAGAGAGATGGAAAGTGAGAAAGCAAATCTCCAGATCCAGACCGAAAACTGTGGTCGGCTATGTGGGAGTCCAGCACCTTAACCACCATGCCACCTACCAGTCCCCTGTGGCCAAGTTTAAAGATTTTTTTTTTTGGAGAGTTTTTTTTTGCTATAGGGCTCGTGCACTCGTCAGACAGATAGAGACATAGAGACAGAAAGTGAGAAATCACCCCCCAGGGGGGATGGTCACGCCGTAATCCCTTCTCCTCCATTCTCCTCTCGGGATCTTGGGCACGCACGCACACGTGCTTGGCGTGAGTTTCAAGCCACCGGGTACAGGACAAAAACCGCGGTCGACTACGTGAGAGTCCAGCGACATAGCCATTATGCTAACTGCTGGTTTCCAAGAATTTTTTAAATTAACTTTATTTATTTACTTATTTTAATTTGACCGGAGAGGGACAGAGCAAGAGAGAGAGAGAAACAAGGAAAGTGAGAAAGCAAACCACCAGGTCTAGGACTTGAATCATGGTCAGCCATGTAGGAGTCCCAGCCCCCCCACCCCCCCCCCCACTTGCTGGCCCCTGTGGCCAAATTAAAAAAAAAAAAAATTCAATTGACTATAGGGCACGTGCACTAATAATAAATAAAATAAAATAAATAATTTCTTTTTCAAAAATTAAGAAATGTTAAACAATTTCCTAACTGCAACCAAGCCTGACTTAAATTTTTTTTTTCTTTTTTGAAATCTATTTTTTTTTTTTTTTCATAATGTGCATTTTCCACAAACTTTGTTTTGCCAGAAGGTATATACACTTGTCGGAGGGAGAGAGAGACAGGGAAAGCACCCCAACCCCTCCCCCGTAATGGGGTCTGGTTATACCACAATCCCTTCTGTTTCTTCCTCCTTTGGGGATTTTGGTATGCACACACACACCCTGCGTGTTTCTCAAGCCATTGGGTCCAGGACTCAAATCACGAAGTTGGCTATATAGGATCCAGCTGCCTTAATCACCATGCCAGGGCCAGCAAGTGGTGTGGTGGTTAAGGCACTGGACTACCACGTGTCCAACTATGGTTCGAGTCCCGGTCCTATGGCTTGTGTTCTCACCTTCCCTCTCTCTTTCTCTCTCTGTCTGTCTCTCTCTGGTGGGTGTATGTGTCTTATAACAAATTTAAATATAATAATAGTATTGATAAAATTACATAAATTTTTAAATTTCATTTTTTACATAAATAATTCTTTTAAAATTTTTAACTTTATTTGCTTATTTTTTAAAGAATTTATTTAACTTTATTTATTTATTTTTAATCTGATCAGAGAGGGACAGAGTGAGAGAGAGAGAGGGGAAAAGTAAGAAAGGAAACTGCCAAGTCTGGTACTCAAACCCCACTCGACCATGTGCGAGTCCACAGCCCTTAATCACCATGCCACCTGCCAGCGCCAACATACATAATTCTTTTCTTTTTCTTTTGGAGAGGTTTTTGCTATAGGGCACATATGCTCTCTAGAAAGACAGAGAGAGACAGACAGAATGCAAGAAATCACCCCCCAAGGGGTATGGCCACTCCACAATCCCTTCTCCTCCATTCTCCTCTCGGGATCTTGGGGACACATGCACACACCCAGCGTGAGGTCAAGCCTTCGGGGTCTGGGACTTGAACCACAGTCAGCTACATGGAAGTCCAGCGACATAGCCATTACGCCATCTGCTGGTCCCACCAACATAAATAATTATTAAAAAAAAATCATCAACCCACAGGCTGTCCCCCATGAATGCTTTATTTTATTTCTTCCTTTTTTTTTAAACACAATTATTTGTTTATTTAATTCCATTTGTTATTATTATTTTTTAATTTGACCAGAGAGAGAGAAAAGAAAGAGGAGAAAGCAAGCCACCAGGTCCAGTACTTGAACCACATTTGGTCATCCAGCACCTTTAGCCATCATGCCCCCTGCCGGTCTTCCCCCCCTCCCCGTGTATGTTTTTTTGTTGTTGTTTGTTTGTTTTTTAAAAATATTTTATTGTTTTATTTTATTATTATTATTCATTTTTATTGTATGTTTTAAAAATCCCCTTGTATAATTCTGTAAATTCATCCATTCAATGGCTTTTCATATGTTCACACAGTTGTGCAGCCATACCACAGTTAATTTTAGCACATTTTTTAGAACCCCCAAAAGAGGTTGCCATGCCGCAATCCCTTCTCCATTCTCCTCTCGGGATCTTGGGCACGCACACATACGCACCCGGCATGAGATTAAGTCACCGGGTCCGGGACTTGAACCACGGGCAACTATATGGGAGTCCAGCGACATAGCCATTACGCTAACTGCTGATCCCCCCTTTAACTCCCCTTAATCCTCCCATTGCCTTCCAGCCTCTGGCGCAGTAATTACTCGCTATCCTTATAGATTTACTATTCTGAATATTTTATAAATATGGCATCATACTGGGGCCAGTAGGTGGTATAGTGGTAAAGGCACTGGACTCCCACGTGGCCAACTGAGGTTTGAATCCCAAACCTGGCAGCTTGAAACTCATGCCAGGCACATGTGCATGTGTGCCCAAAATCCTGAGAAGAGAATGAAGGAGAAGGGATTACAGTTTGGCCATCCTCCCTGGGGGTTGATTTCTTTCTCTGTTACTTCAACAAGTGCAAAAATCTCTCTTAAGGAAAAATGACAGCATAATGTGGTCCTTGTGACTGGCTTCTTTCATTTACCGTATGTTTTCACAGTTTGTCCATGTTGTAGTATGTATTAGGACTTTAGAACTTCATTCCTTTTGGTGGCTGAATATAGCACATTCTGTTTATTCCTTCATCTGCTGATGGACGTTGAGATTGTGTCCACTTTGGGCTATAAACCTTTTTATTTTTTGCCTTTGGAACCTTTCATTCAAGTGAGACCTTTTTCATGGACACCAGTATTTACAATAGAACAAAATTGGAGCTGCTCTGGCAGTAACGAGGCTGAGGAACTTCCTCATTTGCCCTGAGGGATTTCAGAGGTGCCCACAGCCCTCCCCAGTCCTACCTCATCTGTATCCTCTCCCTGCTGGCCACACCACTCCTCACACCATGCTGGGGCCTGTTCTGGGGCGACGACAGCTCACGGCTTGAGGCTGCAGTTGGGGCCTGTAGGGGCCCAGCATTCCTGATCAGCAGTCTTTCCTCTTGCAGAGAGTGAGAGCTGGCGGGAGCAGCTGGCCCTGGTCGCAGGCACAGCAGTCGTGGGTGTGGTACTGGTCCTGGTGGTCATCATCATTGCTGTTCTCTGCCTCAGGTAAGGGTTCTGGGTACCTAGAGGTCCCTGGAAACCATGGTGTGGACAGCCATCTGCTGGTGTGCTCCCGGGTCGGCCTTTCTAGGCACCCTACTAGCCTGTCTTCTCTGATCCTCACTCCTTTCTTCCTTAAATTCCTCGATAGGGGCCTAGAGTGGTGTGACTCAGTTTACCTTTTGCTTCTTTCTCATTGGCTACAGGAAGCAGAGCAACGTGAGAGAAGCAGAGTACTCAGACAAACACGGACAGTATCTCATCGGGCACGGTGGGTAGGCCTTTCTTGACAGAAATAGGGACTGCCAACAAGATCTATGGGCCAAGAACTGGGGCATCTGAATCCCGCAAAGGTACCTCTTGACTCACAGAGTCCTGCCTGATTCCTCAGGTACTAAGGTCTACATTGACCCCTTCACTTACGAAGACCCTAATGAGGCTGTGAGAGAATTTGCAAAAGAGATTGATGTTTCCTACGTCAAGATTGAAGAGGTGATTGGTGCAGGTAGGAAGAAGGATGCTGGCGGGGGAGGGAGGGAAGGCAGGAACCCACGGCTGGGCAGGAGGCAAGATGACTCTTGGTGTCCTTGCCAAAGGTGAGTTTGGCGAGGTGTGCCGAGGGCGGCTCAAAGCTCCTGGGAAGAAAGAGAGCTGCGTTGCCATCAAGACCCTGAAGGGCGGCTACACTGAGCGGCAGCGGCGTGAGTTCCTGAGTGAGGCCTCCATCATGGGCCAGTTCGAGCACCCCAACATCATCCGCCTGGAGGGGGTGGTCACCAACAGCGTGCCCGTCATGATCCTCACGGAGTTCATGGAGAATGGTGCTCTGGATTCCTTCCTGCGGGTGAGCTACTCCTGCCCCCAAGTCTCTTGCCCTACTCCATGCCCGCTGCCTGCTGACCAGAGCAGCCAAGAAGCAGAGGCCAGGTGGGCCCAGAACCCAGGACAGACACAGCCCCTCTCCTCGGGCTGTGCACTGGTCCTCTGTCCTTTGTGTCCCCTTTGGGACAGGTTGAGTTCCTGAGCCTCGCCTTCCCTTTGGCTTCTCTGTGGGGCCGGCTGCCCAGTACCGCTGCCTGTCATGCGCCATGTCATTCCTCTTTTTCACAAATACAAAAGGGACATCAGTAAGTTCAAGGGAAAAATGGAAGTACACATTTATTCAGATGTCCCAAAATTTGAAATTTGTGCACGTTTTTTTCTTTCTTATTAAATTTTGCCGTAGGATACATGTTCACCTCAGAGAGACAGGGAGGGAAAGTGAAAACAGAAAAAGCACCTCTGGTAATGCCACAATCCAATCCCTTCTCCTCCATCTCTCTCCCTCCTTTTGGGATTTTGGACACACATGTCTGGTATGTTTTCGAGCCACCAGGTCCAGGACTCAACATACAGGCAGCCGTGTGGGATCCATTTGGTTTAACCACCAATGCCACTGGCTAACCCAGTTTTTCCATAATATGCATTTCTTTTCTTTTCTTTTTGTTTATTTTAGGGATTTATTTAACTTTATTTGTTTATTTATTTTTAATTTGACCAGAGGAAGAGAGAGAGAGAGAGAGTGAGAAAGCAAGCTGTCAGGTCCAGGACTTGAACCACAGTCAGCCATGTGGGAGTCCATTGCCCTTAACCACCATGCCACCTGCTGGCCCCTAGAAAAACTTTTTAAAGCCTCTAGAATGGAATGATCATTGGCCATGTGGGAGTTCAACATCTTTACTGCACCACCTTCTGGCCCCAATTTTGTTTGTTTGTTTGTTTGTTTTTTAAAGAAAGAAAGAGGCCAGTACAAGATGGTGTAATGGTTACACTGCTAGACTGCCATGTAGTCAAGCACAGTTCAAGTCCTGCACCCATCATGCCCAGTACATGGACGTGTGTGCCCAAAATCCCAAGAAGAGAGGAGGAGAAGGGATTGTGGCATGGCCATCCCTATTGGGGGGTGATTTCTTTTTGTTATAGGGTGCATGCACTTGCCAGAGAGACAGAAAGCGAGAAATCACCCCCCCGGGGGGATGGCCACACCACAATCCCTTCTCC